TGAAGAGTATTGCTGTGGTTTGAGTGTGGTTCATCTCACCATAACTCACATGGAGGCTAAGCTCTCAATGCATTGGCATAGAAAGGAGTAGGGACCTTTAAGAGGTGGATCCTCCTGGGAGGTATTGAGGCATGACTGGTTTCATGAAGCCATTAATGCTGGTCTCCCCTTGGATCTCCCATGAGTAAATGAATTCCCTCAAGAGTAGGTTTTACAGAAGAACAAGCCTGGCCCCTCCTTGCCCCTCACTTCCTCTCAGGCCATGTAAACCATCTCCAACGTGCTCTCACCATGTTATGCCATTGGCCATGTTGTGACATAGCCAGAAGGCTCTAGGCAGAGGGAGACCATACAGAACACCCAATTTTGGCCTCTCAAACTCCAAAACTATGAATTAAATAAACCTCTTCACTTTACAAAATATCCACCCTCAGGTTTTTTATTGTCTTACCACCAAAATGGGATAAGGTATGTGTGGTGCTGAATATTTTATTATATAGGATATAATAGTAAATCAGCAGATTTTCTTATAAAATCAATTGCTTTTTCTTTATTGAGAGAAAAATCATAGTGAAATGAAGAGCTTAGTCTTTGAAATCAGATGGACATTGGGTTCAATCCCTGGATATGTTCTTTCATAGCTCTACACATTGAAAATATTATTAAACTTTCTTGACTTCTGTATATTCACTTGCAAAATAGAGGTAATTATCATTTACAGAGTGGTTATGACAATTAAATTAATTGATCTGAATAGATTGAGATTTAGAATCTGACATCTTTTCTGGCTCTTTATTTAGCAGAAACATTGCAGACAACTAAAATCAGTGAGACTAGATATGTTCTTCAATAAATTCTGTTGGCTCAATAATATAATCAATAGGAAGTTCTTAAAAATATGCCGTAGCAAAATTTTCATATGGATTAAATTTTTGGTATAGTTTTTAATGTACTAGAAGAAAAAACTAAGAATACATCAAGATAAAAACCAAAAAATATGTATCAAAAGAAAAAAGTTAAAAATTACCTGTAAGACAGAAAGTTATTCACAACAGTTAAAAGGAACAAAATGTTAATGTGTTCAATTTGTGAAGAGCTTTTCAAATGGAGAAGGAAACAGGAAACTCTAAAACTGATAATAGATAAAGCTCATGGATAAAGTATATAAAGTATAAGAGGAAAAATGTAAATGATTGATCAACATATAAAAAGAGGCTCAGTCTTAACCTAAAACATGTAAATTTAAAAGAACTTGTTTTCCTTTTAAAGCTCACTGAAATATAAAACCATGAAAATCCAATTTTATAAAAAGTGGTAGAAAATACTCCTATAGTGTTTGGGACAACTATGAACTGATCCAATAGTTTTGAAAGATGATACAGCAATATATAAGAAAACTTTATGTAGCTTTATTTACACAGAAATTCCACTGCTAAGATTTTAGCCTCAGGAAAGAATTGCACACTGTATAAGGTTTTATGAACTAGGATACACATTAAAGCAGGAATAATAATATGAAAAGTGGAAATAAGTTATATTAATATGACAGTGACTCAATAAATATTTTTATATATTGCTTTTTAAAAGAATAAAGAAGAGTTCTATGCACTGGCATGGAAGAGGCTTATAATGTATTAAAATATACATATATAACTGAATAGTATTTAAGTGTATATGGTATGATCTCATTTTCACATGAAAATATACATTTCATTATTGATAGCTATGTATGTTACATACTTATGCACCAAAATAAATGTCTTCCTTTTAGATGTTTTCATTGTTTTGTTTTCCAACAATGAGGAAGGTGCTATATTATCAAAGGACAAAATAAAGATACTTCTATTTTGAAAAGTCAATAATGAATTTAATTTTTTTCTTATTTATATTGAGTTTAACTCTACATGACAAATAAGTTTAAGGCATGATATTCATAGGTTCAAATGTAATCTGGTTTTGAAAAGTTGATATAACATGTATCTTTACATTGTTTATTTTTTGGTTTTAAAATTTTGTGCTTAACTCTTTAAAGAAACTTCAAAATACTTGTATAAACCTCCTCTAAAACTTCTTTTAGCTAGCATCATTTTGTTAGTACCAGAATCTCATAAGTGAAGGAGAAAGAAAATGTTCCAGCTTTTCATGTCCTGGGTTTCTCTCAATTTCAATCTCTTCAAGCCATAAAGCCTGCTTTGAAATTTTTGACTTGAAAGAATAAGCTTATTGAAGCCACTGTCACCCTTTGTAAAAGAGGTGAAGCTTTTATTGTCATTACCATCTTAAATCATGTTGAATTTCAGATGCTACTGTTATAAATGAGGAGTGCCTTTTAGGTTAGAAAAACAGCACCCAAATTTAGATTGGAGTATTTTGTCGGGAATGGGGTAGAGTACAGGCGTATGTGGGTCTGTGCATACATGTGTATGAACTCTATATGTGATTATGTATGTTACATGTGCATATATGGAAATGTAGTCCATGTGTGTACACTTATCTGTGGTAGTGAATATATGTGTATGCTCATGTATACTTGTGTTTTTACAAATACAAAGAAAAAATGAACTAAAATGCAATATTTAACAATGCATGTAAAAGGAAGCAAATATTTAGGCCTTCCCATTTGCACATAATACTGTGGATAATAAGAAGGTTCTTATATGTTTGAACCACTTACAGGCTCACTGTAAACATAAGGAGCATCATCTCTGAAGTCATGTTCATAGGGTAAATATGTTTCTGAAAATATAGGCATGGGGAATTCTCATGGATCCAATGTGCTGTGAGACAGAAGTCCAAATTTTGATAAATGGATTTCATGCCAAATATATTTATTCTAAGATGTTAAAAATGAAAAATGATATGCATGATATTATACTATAGCACCACAAAACTGCTTCCCCTAACTGCTTCATTTCTTCCCCAAACTACAAAGTGAAATCTGAATATACAGAAATTAAAACCAGATTCCTGGTCTGAAGAATTTGCTAAACTGAGTCCAAGAGGCATGATACCAAAAGCTCAAGACCATGAAAGATATTTAGTTAGCCATACTGACTATTATTACTATTCACTCTTTTGATTGGAAAATTTACAAGTCTTAAAGAGGTATGGAACAATATTATATAATTTTTTAGAAACTCCCTTCTCCCATTTTGCTTTTCTACAGTTAATTTATAATTGTATTTTCTTCTTCCCATTTTCTTTTGTTTTGGTGTATTATAAAAAAGATAAAAATGTGAATATTTGTAAGGTTTGCAAGTAGGTTATACCACAAAGGACCTTTAAGATGATTATATTTTGGCTTCAGAGTTACCTTCCTATCTTTGAAAAGTAGTGGTACTCTTTTTTTTTTTTAATGAAGCAAAAAAGACTGTATAATCCTTACTAGGGAAATATTCATAAAGCAGTGTTCAAGATTATTTTAGAATCATGAATCATCTCTTTGTCTGGGGTGTGTATGCACTCATAATAGAGAAGTATGGGTCAAGAAGATTAAGTATTAGCAAAAGGGTAAAGCACACTGTGTGTCAGGAATCAGCATTGTATAAAAATGGGAAAAATTCCAGAACAAATAAAAGATGAATTTCATTTAACATTAAGCTGCATATTTTGATATATAAGTAGAACTTCAATTTTTTGATTCTATGTTGAAAAGAAGAACATGTAAAAACTTAAGTTCACTTAAAGCAGGAACTTCATGCTGCAATAGATCACCTTTCTCCAGAAAATCCTTTTAAGAAACATAAACAGCTAAAGATCAAGACCATGATCAAGATCAAGATCACAGAATATGTAAGTTACTCATGAATTATATTCTTTGAAAATTGCTAGTCTGAGATGCCTTAAACCATTTGTGGTACAAGATGGGGTGTTAATAAGTTAATCAATTCACAGGCTACTTAACTCCATAAAATCAAATCATGTTGGCTCTTTAAGAGTTTAATTTTTTTTCAAAAATCCTCTATTATTCGTTACACATACATAAGACACACACAAACACACACACACACACACATACACACACACTCACACACATACACACAACACACACACACACACACACAAACTTGAACATTATTAATTTATACCCTGTTGATTGTTCTTACAGTGAGATAAAAGAAGTAACATAATAGCCTAAGAGTAAAATTTTTCTCTGGGAATCTACCTTTTAAAATAAATGGACATTTAATGCCCACCAGAGAATATGCATTTGCAAATGAATCATTAGATTTCTGAAACTTCATAATTGGTATCTACCATAAATAAGTCATACATGAATACTAGGGCACTGTGAATACTAGTGGCACTCCCAGGATGTAGAAAGGAATAGTGCTCAGTAGAAAAATAGAGAGGAGTTAAGTATTAATCACTGGAGTCTCAATGTCTCATATAAGGAATGGCATAGTCCTATGCCCATGAAAACATTATTTCCTTTGCTATAACAACAAAGTGATAAAGAGGATCAGTAGTATTAAAACAGATGAAAAGGGAAATAATGATATACCTATACAAGTACATTTGAAGAAGGAAAATTCCTCTCCGACCCTATATTTTTCATAGTACAGAAGAACACATCTTCATTTTCCCCCCACACCCATATAACAAAACTGTGTTATTCTGTTTTCCGAGTTCACTGCAACCAAACAGCAAACACAGAATTTAATAAGATGGATTTCCACAAAGTGAAGGAATTCAAGGAGTCATCTAGATGCTTATTAAATAATGCAATGCCTAAGTTCCACTTGAACCTACCAAATCAAAATCTCCACAGGAAGATTCCTAAGATAGGCAGGATTTGCAAACATGCAATATGTAGCAAATTATCACTTTCTCTGATTATTTTATGCCATGATGGTAATTATAGCTACCCTCCTTTATCAGAGTTGGTATAAGAGGGGAATGATTCAGACCTGCCTGCTATTATTTTGGAGTGTTTGGTCCAATGTAGAATGGAAAGTTTTAAAGTTTCTGTGTTTTAAGTGTCTAGATCAAGTACTTACTACAGTTCTCAGCTTTTCTGTTATCCCGGATCACTATTCTTTGGTTAATGGTGCTGAAGAGAGTTGTCCAGTTGATGGTGTGATAATAACACAGGTTGCTATTGTCGGTTATATAGATGTTTCCTGCACTAATCTCCTTCAGAGACTGGAACTGTAGAGAGGTAATGCCTTGTTGCTTGAGGATCAGCAAGGAGAGGCCACTAAAAAGGAGAAAGGGAATGGAGCAAGGATAAATATGTTCTGGCTGTGAATTGCTCTCTTGAAGTAAAATAAGGATATCACTTCTTACTCCAAAAAGAATATCAATGGATCACAGAGACTGATCAATATGCCTGTGCTCAGAATAAAATTTTCATTTTTACATGCTATATACTGCCAGTTCTAATGTTAATAATTTGTTTCCCAAAAAGAATATGTCCATTTCTTAAAATTATGAATCTTGACAATATCTCTCTATCTTTATATTTACCACTTAAGTATTAGATCACTGTCTTTCCTCCTCCACCTAGATTTTATACTCTGCAACAATAAAATACTGTAGTAAGACTAAATAATTATTTGTACAATGCTTGCTTATCTAGCTAAAGAGATGCTGATTCAACTATAACTATGTAATATATTTCAGAGGGTAGATATTGCAGAAAATGACTACAGATTTGGGGTTTATTAATTTCTTATAAACCAAAACAATCATCATTAAAGAATGCATAAATAATGTTAGGGCATATTAAAAATTAAAGAGTAAAACAAAAATAAATTTTTGAAAAATATTCAGAAGGCTTGAACAGCTGGGGAAAACTTCACTAAAAGTTAAAGAACAAATACTCTATATAAATACAGCAATTATCATTTCAAAAAACTGTTATTATTTCAACATAGTCTACAGTTTTATAATTATTTTTGCTTTTATTCTCTAAAAAGCATGAGTCCTAGCCAGGCACCAGGGTTTACACCTGTAATCCCAGTAGCTCGGGAGGCCAAGAAAGGAGGATTGTGAGTTGAAAGCCAGACTCAGCAACTTAGCAAGACCCTAAGCAAGTTAAAGAGAACATGTCTTAAACTAAAAAATAAAAAGGGCCAGTTATGTGGCTCAGCACTTAAGCACCCCTGGGTTCAATCCCCAGTACCAAATAATAATAATAATAATAATAATAATAATAATTCCTATATTTCATTCAACTTATAACATTATTTTTCATTTTGGACAATAAAGTTTTCCTTTTCACTAACAATTTTAAATGTAACTTGCTGTTAATATTTAGAATTGTTTTTAATAATTGAAACATATGGGGTTAAATGATAAAAACTGTATCATAATTCACTCTTTAAAATTTTTGTTTTCTTCATACCCACCTTGAGTTTTTATTACAAGATCAGCACAAGGCCTTAAGTGATTCAAGGATAGTAAAAGTTGTTTGTATATGCACTTGAGCACACTGCATCTCTCGACTACTGCTTTACATTAAGCTCCTTTCCCCTTTTAATTTTTAAAAAACTTTTCACAGATATTGTAGATTTTTAATAATAAAATGCAGTGTACTATATATAAAATATTATTATAAAATAATCCATTATAGTATTGACTTTAGTCATTTCACAGATTTAAGCAGACAAATTAAATAACAATATCTTGATGTAAATAAACTTGTATTAATTCATGAATAAAAACTTCATGCAGATGAAATCTGAGATAAACTAAAAAATAAGTAGTGGCTTAGTAAAGATTGTCATTTAGTTTTATCATGTGAATTTAAAAGATGAGATAAAATTGTATAACAAAGTCCACCTATTTTAATTTTGCTCTCCATTTATTAACCAGAGCTGCATATAGAGTGGTGGACAAATCCCAAAACACCAGCCCTATGAGGCATAGTTTAAAAGACAGCACCGGAGACAATACAGCCTTCTGGTACAACAGAATAGACAGTACCAAGTAACTTCACTATATCATAAGATAATATACAATCAAAAAGAAAGTTTAACTTTGTAGTCCACATTCAGCATCACAGATTTGTAAAATACTAATATTACATTAGATGATGTCAGTTGGAAAATCTAATGATGCATTCTGTATACTTCATATCATCATTAGGGTTATTTTTATTAAGCTTATTTTTGGAATTGAATGCAGAAATATCATATTACCAGAATCAGTAAATCAATAAGCCTGATGGTTTTGACTTGATGTACACACGATACTACTCTTAAAATTTGGGCAACTTTCAGCTTTAATCCAAATATATATTGTTAATCCAAATATATATACCTACCTATACAGTACTCTTCCACCAATGGTCACCAGGTTGGAAAAGACACTGAAGTCAGTCATATTTGGGGGCCATGATTGTATGTTCAAGAAACCTACAAGTGATAGGATGGTAAAAATAAACCAGGATATCATTGTCTTAGTAGTAGTGTTGATTATTAAAATATGATGAAAATGTATTGATAGTTTATGGGAGGTAATAAAATAACTGTCCATTTCTGTTTATGAAAGATTCTACAACATATTTATTCTAACATTGAGTACCTTAACCCATGAGTATCCCACACACTGGACTAAATTATAAGCAATTGATATCAAAACTATGACCCCCCAAAAATCTATGTATCTCATCCATATAGGATCACAAAATGGTATATTCTAAGACATAAATGACTCAGTTTGCTTTATTCTTTTAAATGAAAAAAATATACTTAACTAAAGAAAAAATATGGTTTCCACTTCTATGAAATCATTTATCACTTTACCTCTAGACTTGTGACATCAGTATCCACCTTGCACTCTAAGCCATTTATGTATATATTTAACCTGTCTTCTTAAATTTTAAATTTTTTTATTCATTTTAACTTTTATTGGTTCTTTTTAGTTACATGTGACAGAAGAATCATTTTGATATAATTATACAAGCATGGAATATATCTTATTCTAATTAGGACCTCATTCTTATGGAAGTACACAATGGTGATATTCACTGTGATGTATTCACTCATATATGTATATAGGAAAATTATGTCAGATTCATTTCACTGTCTTTCCTTTTCCTATCCCCCCTTCCCTTCATTCTCCTTCATCTAATCTACTGAACTTTTATTCCCTCTGTCCTCATTATTTTAGGTTAGCTTCCATGTATCAGTGAAACCATTCCACCTTTGTTTTTGGGGGGTTGGCTTATTTCACTTAGCATGATAGTACCTAGAACCATTCACTTACTGGCAAATGTCAGAAAGTCATTCTTCTTAATGGCTGGGCAATGCTCCATTGTGTATATACACATTTTCTCTATCCATGCATCTGCTGATAGGTTGGCTCTATAGCTTAGCCATTGTGAATTGTGCTGCTCTAAACATTGATGGGGCTGGATCAATGTAGTGTGCTTATTTTAAATCCTTTGGATATATACTGAGGGGTGAAATAGCTGGGTCAAATGGTGGTTCCATTGCTAGTATTTTAGTACAAGCACTCTGGAAAGAAGTATGAAGATTCCTCAAAAAAAAAATACATTTTAAATTCTGGTGTAAGTCCATGTCTGCTTCATATTTATGAGCTGTATAACACTATTATATTAGTATTAAATATTTTAGGTACTCAATAAATATGAGTGGTACATATGCTGGGCACGCCTGCAATAAGAGTGACTTAAGAAACTGAGGCAGAAAGATAGAAGTTTAAGGCCAGTCTTAGCAATTTTAGCCAGGCCCTAAACAATTTAGTGAGATCTAATGATGTGGCTCAGTGGTTAAGAACCTCTGGTGTAACCCTAGTACCAAAATAAATAAATAAATAAATAAATAAATAAAATTTAAAAAAAGAAAGAAAGAAAAGAATGCTACATGTAATACCCATGTTCTAACCATGTAGAAAACCATGGGTTCAAAGATCATAGATCATTTGACACTTGCAAAAGATAATGACAAAATTTCTAGGATATTTATTTTTGTAATTCTACGTACTTTTGAAATAAGCACAAAAGCTGAGAAGTAAAAACACCCATTGTTGAAAAATGACACGAATTTCAAAAACTGGAATTTGCGATGAAAATGAGTTGCTTATTCTAATATTATGCAATGTTTTTAAGAAAACACCAAAGTCACATAGTTCATAATACAGCAATTGCATTTTGAAAAGTACCTGTTATCTCTCTGACTGTCCGAAAAACATTCAGTTTCTCTGGGTCTATAGCTTCAATTGCATTGTAAGGATCCCTAGAAAATCAAAGAGATATAGACAAATTTAAACTGTGATAAAAAAGTGAAATTATGAGAAATGTGACAATTGTTATCCCATCAAAATTGAATTTTAATTTGAAATAGGAAGGCAAGCAAAGTGTTGTCTAAATTATTCTATGCTAGATGTAGAGGGAGGATTAATAGATGTTTGGGGAGATTTTTCATGACACAAAATATAAGTTCTTTGTCAAAGCCTATTCTATAAGAATGGTTCAGTTCCAATTATAATAAAAAGAGCTTCAAAGGTAGTGAGTCCATGAACAAACCATCTTATTTTACTTTTAAAATTTTATTCTTAATCAGGAATAATATAATTTGAAAATAAATAATATCTTAGTGAAAACAACTAACTTCTGGGTTCCTCGAAGAAGAAATGAAGGGTTTTTATTTATATACTTTGTTTTTCATTGTGTTGTTTTCTTCTTTTGTTTCTATATAGTTAATTTACGTTCACTTTCATAACAGAAAATACTGGCTTCCATCTAAATTAATTATATTTTCATTTGGAAAAAGCTTACAACAAACATTATAATACTCAAAATGTATGAATTTTGAAAATTTTAAAAAGATCATCTCCTAATGAATAAACATTAATATAATAAAATTATAGATATACAGAAGTCAGATCTTTTCAAAAATAAACAAAATTGAGTGACCCTTTAAAATTAAAATATTTAGTGGATTTTTTTTTCAGTTATCTTAAGAAAATATTTTTTGGGTAAAACATATTGACTGTGTAAAATAATTGCATATTTGAATACTAAACAAAGCATAAACATAGTGCCAAAACCTTCTCAATAATTATAGTAACATTTTAAGTATCTGAAGGGATACATAATATTTTTAAGTTATTATATTAAAGGCTTTCCTGGCTGGGTAGAAACTTCATATTAATATGTACCTTTTACAGAAAGATAATTAAATTCATTGGATACGTTCCAAAAAAATTAAACCTTAAAATTAAACAAATTAAAAAATTAAACATATAAGAAATTATTTTAAGTATGTATATACTTGTAGCAATCAAATGCGAATTCTTCCTCCAATGAACATTTTTTTTTACCAGCCTATGAATAACTTATTTATATGGAGAAAAAAATACTACAATACAGTGACCCATTGAATACAGTCTTAATAGAGTTATCAATCAAGGTACTCCCCAATTCCCTGATACACAGATAGGTATATGATTTATCTCCTGGGTATTTGAATATAAATCCATTGACATTTACCCCCCTCAGCATTAGAGCCTTGGAAATGTATTAGTTTCTGCAACTTTCATCTCTAGAACCACCTGGTGCTGGTTTTCTTAACTTGGTTCACCAGTATATTCTTCTATACCGTAAACTATTTCACATTTTTTAAGATACCCTGATTGAGTCAATTACTATTTCAAACTAAGAAGAGCTATTAATGGAATGTACTACTAGATTAACATAGGCTGCTGTAGAAAGTTCAGATACTGGATGCTATCAAGACTGGAGACCCCTGTAAGTGCCTTTCCCTTTTCACACACAAACCTCTACTCAGAATTTTATCTGAGCATGTGCCACATGAATATCTCTCAAAAGTTTGAAGTCTAAATTAAATGTTTTTGCAAACTTGCTTTTTTTAAAGTAAATACATATGGGATAAATAACTATGATTTTGAAGACTATGAATCCCCAAAATGAAGTGTACCATGTCAGAAAATTATTGTCCTCACTTTTTAAAGTGCCAAGACATTTATATGCAGAGGAAATATCATCTCTGCTATAGGAGAATTAGCTTTCAACATTTATTCTTTGATGAAGAGCTATGTGTAGAACAGCTCTAGTCATATCATCAAATATCCTGGCTCTATTGAGAAAGACTCAAAATTCAGGGCAAGCACACAATAATGGGGTCAGTCCAAATCTTATAGAGAACAGTTCCAGGTTGCCAGGAAGTTAATAAATTCTTTACTGTTAGCATGCAGCCCAATGGACCACAGAAATTTTATATACTTAATTTTAGAGATTCAGGACTCTCATAAAGTAAGTTGACAGAATTCCACTTACAAACTTCAAAGTAGCTCTTGGGATTTTCAGTCTACAGTCACTTGAAATCCATAGTATTTTAAAAATCAAGAATTTTCTGCCTAAATTCAGAGACATGCAAAAGAACATTATGTCCACCCTGTCACTATGTTTGGTGATACAAAATAAAGACTAGGATAAGAGAGAGAGAGAGAGAGAGAGAGAGAGAGAGAGAGAGAGAGAGAGAGATAGATTGATTTATAATTTCACTAAATTCACTTCATTTTATCACCAAACCTATTATATTTCTTATTTCACTGTGTGCCATCATTGGAGTCTATCACATAAACTTTTTCTTGCTAGGGTCTCACTGTGACATGGAATCCACATGCTAACTTGGTGAGCATGTTATTACTCTAAGTATATGTACATGAACTGTGTCAAAAATGCAAAACAGGGGCTGGGGTTGTGGTTCAGTGGTAGAGTGCTTGCCTAGCATGTATGAAGCACTGGGTTCAATCCTCAGCACCACATTAAAAAATAAATAAACAAAATGGCAAAACATGAAAAGAGAAACTGATAACTATAACCATCACGTTTTGCCTATAGTTTCCATTCTAAATGAAAATGAGTACTTATTTTTCTTTCTGACAATGGCACTATTTTATTATAAACCAAACATGCCAGTTAAATTTCTTTAGCCCTTTTATGTATTATAAATTTAATTGACAAATTGCCAGTAAATTTATTGTGCAAAGAAACTTCTTTTTGAAAAGCACAGTATCATTTAATTATGATTTTTTACCCTTTACTAAAGAATTATCTCAGCTATTTTAATTAAAGATACAATTTTATTAAACACTTGTTAGTAATATATTGAGGATAATAACATTAATAAGATAAAACACTATTTACTAGAAGTTCTCTTTTTATAATAACCTATATTTTTCCCCTTCTCTCTGACTCTCTTTTCCTAAACACACACACACACACACACACACACACAGAGAATACATAGACCAACATACCTTTATTTATACATATATAGGTAGCCTGAGGTCTTTTGAAATTTATGGTCATGCTTTACTAAGATGAAAGGGAAAGGTTTAGGAATATATGTCTCATTCTGGCATCCCATTCTCAGTTTTTCACTGGAGGACCACCCAACTTAGTTCAAACTGTCCATCATGGAGCTGCAAATCGAATTCCACTCTGGTCTGGATGAAGTTACCCAGGTAGAAACTCTACTTTGCATTTTCTGTGGTTATTATTAGTTGTTTTGTTTTGATTACCTTTCAGCTTCTAATCCAAACTGTTTGATGTTTGAATAAAGGGTTTGTTTATTACCTGAATGAATTAGCAAAATTGTTCTCCTAAAAAGTCTGGTTTAATTAAAAGTTTTGTAATATTCTTCTCAGGTACATGCAAATGCATTGTTCCTACTTGTATGTTTGTTTTGAATTTACTTATTGAAGTTTTCCCCACCCTAGATCATGGGTGCATGAGAATATGTAAAATCGTTTTGTAACTATTATAAATCCAGAGTTTGAAAAAATATATTGTATGATGAACCAAGATTAAATTATTCTGAACCTCAATGTATGAAATCTTGTCCAAGCCTTCCCATCTATGTGAATTTTCACCATTAGAAGGTCAGTTTTCATAAACCTGCTAGTGTCATTAAACTTTTTCAGTGGTTATCAATAGAGGTAGTTCCACTCTACTAAAGGGAAGTCAGGGCATTTGTGGAGTGTTTTGATTCTAATAGTAATTGGGGGATGATTGAGACTTTTAGTAATAATCTGGGGCCAAGGTAGTTAAAAGCCTCTTAAAGTGAAGAATTGCCTCTCCTCTGGTACAACCTTAAAACATCCTCCCTGACATTTAGAACCTAATATCTGGAAACTTCTTGCATAATACTACTTTGTATGTAATTCCCTATGCAAGTCTCTCTAATTTCAGTGAAACTTATTTCCCTCTTCCTTTGGTTACACCATGTTCTGGTTATTTATGTTCTATTCTAGAGGTCAGCTATTCCTCTGTTGTTCCATGCCCCCACCCCCACATTTCCTATACAAAATGAATTCTAATCTCACTTGTCATAAATTCAAATTTTCATTATAAGTGGAAGCTGAGCATTTTCCTATCAATGCCTGTTTTTATTATATGTGACTTTTATTTCTTCTTTAAATTATAACTGGTGAATTATAATGATTTTCTAAAAATTATGTATGTAATAGGCTCTATTCTCTATAGGTTTTCAGTATTGAGAAGAAGCATCAAACGTTTAATATATAAAAGAGAAAAGTTGAGCTCTATAGGGATGAAAACCACTTGTCTAATACAATTCATGAGAATATGACTTCAAATTGTTCCCCACACTGATGGACCTGAAGCTATTTCATTTATTATTTCCACATAGAAGCAGGTATTGTGCATTAAGTAAATCTCTCTTCTTTCATTCATGGTAATATTTGATTTTTAAAATAGTTAAAATATAAATATATTGCTTTATTAATTTTCATATATTTTTTAAATTATAAAGATTTTTAAAATTATAAATATTAACCCAGGTCTCCTACCCAGGGATCCAAAGAGGCTAAGACAACAATGCAGAAGGCCAGTGGAGAATATGGTAAAGTCAAGGGACAGGCTTCATTTCCAGTGCTAGGGCTGTCTATCTCCAACAAACTGCAGCCGTGTAACAATATGAACTTGCACTAAACAAGTCTACATGTTTTTAAAGAGAAGTTCAAACTTTTATTAAAAAAATAACATTTATTAGACCAAATACAACAAATCAGGAAGAAATTACATATATACTATTACAGTGTATGATAGGAAACAATATTAAAATTTATATTTTAAAGTAAAGAGTTATTTTGTGCAATAAGACAAACAATAATGTGTTTAAATGGAAAGAAATAGTTTGTTTTATTGTTCTTGATATTCCTATTTGGACATGTTTATTTTTAATGTTTTATATGTTTGTGCTTCTAGAAATTATGTGCAAAAATATGTTCAGAATAAGATTTTGAATTGAAATATGTATGTGATAGTCTTTATCTGTTGCCTGTAGTGCTAATATTTAGGGATTAAGTAGTAATATAGACAAAAAGTTAAAATATAAAATAAAAATATTGACATTTTTATTACAATTCAAAGGATACAAATTTGGTTGTTTTCCCAGTTAAAACCAGCAGGTGGTTCTGAAATGAAGGCATGCAGATAATGTTCCAATTTGTATTATCAAAATGAAATTTGTTTAATAGATCTCTTACAGTCATAGTAATTTCCCAGCTCAAGAAAATATAAAAAGATTTCATAAAGGCAAAGAAAATTTCTGAAAGAGTTTCAGGAGAATTCCAACTTTGTTTTATGCCAGGTTATCTGATTTGCTTTAACATTGAAATTTTTAAAGGATTATTAATTTACATTATCTTGACCTAATCAGTTAGAAATTTGAATGAAGTTTGCCACTTTACTAATTAATATTATTTTCTTAAAAGCAACTAAAAATAACTCAAGCTTGATGCAAACTACAAATTTTAGGAGAATTCCCTGCCAATAAATTTTAACTTAACTACAAATTTATATTTTCCCATCTAATTCAAACTGGAGCTCCATCCCAAAACTCTGGTTTACTATCACTGCTTTTGAACTGGCCTTGGTTTTATTGGCAAAGAGCATTAACAGAAGGTAAAACTGTTCTAGGTTAAAAAGAATCCAGCAAAGTTAAGGAATCTCTTCTGTTTTGTCTATATTTTGTAAAATAGTTTTGAATAAAATTGAATACTTACCCATGAATACCAGTGACAAGGAAGATCAAATTCCCATTGATCTTTGTACAGTTTATGAATTTGTCAATGTTACTGGAATCCACAGTCTGAGCTGACATCAGTGATCCCGTGCCAATGCCATCACAAGCTGTAGAAACAAGACTCACAGTCAGCGGGCTGAAAAACTTATTTTTGGTCAGTAAATTATTGCACTCTCATGATAATGAAAACAACATTTTATTGAAATATTAAAACGTTAATTTTTTTCTGGAAAATAAAATAATTCATTCATCATTTACTCTTGTCCCTACTTAAAATATTGTCCTAAATAAAAAAAGATGTCCTCGCATGAGTCTTTGTAAGAACCATATTTTATACCAAAACCTGACATTCATACACCACATAAAAAAGAAAAGCCTTCATTAATCATTGCTTTTTCTTACTAGATTAAATTTACTTATTTTCTAACCCAATCTAAAACATTACTTTAAATACTTTAAACTGCTGGTCACTTTAACAAAATATTTTCCTGGCTTACTAATATTCTACAACATGTAATTTGAAAAACACTGGACTAATGAAGAATATACATCAAATAAAGAATAGGAATGATATGAGTTGTTACCATATCAATTTGGGTCACGGGACATTTATTTAAATACTTGGACCTATTGTTACCTCTGCTTTCTGAAGGCTTTATTTAAAATAATAGTGTGTGTGTGTGTGTGTGTGTGTGTGTGTGTGTGTGTGTGTGTAGAGAGAAAGGGGAAGTGAAGAAAAGAGAGGGAGAGAGGAGACAAGGCAGTCTAAAAGTAAATGTGAAGTTTGGCATTTTCTAAGGAACTCCTTGATCTTTGAGAAGCTTAATAATGTTTGAAAGATGTGAGCTATACTTTGGTCCTGCTTAATTTAAGCTTCATTCTGGTGAGGAATTTGATCACTCACAGCTAGAAGGGATTTCTTCCTCCACTAAAACCCTACAGCATGAATTATCTGCAACATTTATTTAATGCTTGTAGTAAACTTCATTGTCATTTCGCACATCTTTTAAAAAATATTTTAAGATCTGGAGAGTAAGTTTCATGTGGTATATCCCTTTGCATTCCTGTTTATGCATAGCAGATAATTTTGTGTAGAGTGGCAAAGTAGCTAATATGAGCTATGATACTAAAATAAGCATGCAAATCCTTGTTGAGTATCAAACATCTAATATTTGTTACTGACAAAAAGGAACTTTATTATTTCTGAGCGCCTATGAAAGTTAACTCTTGAGCTTTATCTGGACCGTTTTAGTTGACATAATTCAAAACCAGTAATACGCACTGTTAGTTGATACTTTGGGGAACTGTCCAAAGTCATGGGAAGTATAGGGGAACAGGAAGGTTTCATTGTGGTAGTGAGTTTATTCTGAGGCTAACTTCATTGGCCTATTGAAAAGTAAATGAAAGACCCTGGTATAAGGTCTCCATATAAGCCTTGGTATAAGACCCTGTTCTAACCAAAGTATTCTAAGCTATCACTCACCTTTTGGGCAAATATCAGTGCAAGGTTTACACATTTTAATCCCATTTTCTTCTACTTCCATCTTGGAACTAGGGCAGGCACGCACACAAGAACTAGAATCGACCACAAAGTTATCTGATACCAAAAAAAAAAGGTAATAAAATAATGTTAATGTGCAGTCATCACATTTATGTATTTATTTTCATTTTTTATTTCTTCAGCTGAACTACCCAGGTGTGCTTTACCACTGAGTTACATCCTCAGTCCCTTTTATTTTGAGACAGTATATCTCTAAGTTGCTGAGGACCTCATTAAATTGCTATGGCTAGCTTCAAACCTAGGACCTCCTGCCTAGGTCTCCCAATTTACTTGGACTACAGGTCTTGACACTATGCCTGCTCAGCTATCAAGTTTAAACAAAACATTGTAGGGTTTGACATGTCTCTTCCTTAAAACAGTTTTTTTTTAATATCTCAACTTGAACTAGTATCTTAACCATCCACATTGAAATCGTAGGCAGTGTGTTAGCAGAACCTTGCACTTGCTTTTCTATGGCTCTATATCCCGAACTGCCCCCAAGATATAGTGGATTTCCTTTAATACTCTTAGGAAACTACATGACATTTAGTTTGTGTTTCTCAATAGTTCCACTTCATTTCAGGTCATGATGCAAGTTGGAAGTCTAAAAATACTTCAAGTTCATGAAGCACAAATGAAGCTTAAGTTAAATTGCTTTGGATCAAGAGAGTGCACTTCATAACCAGGAGAAAATGTTTAAAATATGTTCTATGTTTCAATGGAGTGTCATAGAACATTCCCATATATACTTTATTTTTTTAAAAGAAACAAAAGGAAATTTCAAAGGGTATAGACACGGAACATTTTATTACCTAAACTTAGAGAAATATTTAGGAGACTGGGTGATCTTTGATACACCAGAACATCCTCTACAAAATAAGGGACAAATAACTGTCTTCTGGACTATCCCATCATAAAGGGAAAACATAGTGCCTGCAAGACCATTCTGGTTTGAAGGGCAGAATCATCCTATGCTTGGGAATACTAGCCCACTATGCAATAGTGTGGAAGCCTTCCAGACTGGAGGGGAGCCCAGAGCAGGAAAGGCACATGGTACAGGCAATTTTGTTACTTGAGACATAAAACCCAATAGGTTGTATAATATAGGCAGTAGTATAATGGGAATACATGGCACATGAAGTTATGATAAGTAGCAACTGGAAAAACTTGGCAGATAGGTTTCTGGAGCTAAGTCATGCCATTAGTAGCATTTAACAAAGAGTTCCTGACATGTTTCCGAGTCCTGGTAGAGTCAAAACACCTCATCATGGGTTACACTTGTGGCCAGATCTACCCAAGGTGAACAAAGTTTTGTTGGAGTCATGATTTTATCACATTAAGAGCCAACAGCACTGTAAAACTGAAGCAGTGCATCTGGGATTGGGTATGTGCAGAGGACAGACCCAAGTGACCTGCATTAGCTGGTGATTCAGACCCTATGTCACCCACCCCTCCCATTGTACACCACACTCAGCTCATGCTTTTGCTACATGGAGATGAGAGGTGGCACTTAGGAAAAGCTGACCAAAAAAAAAAAAAATGTTAAGTTTGATCCATGGTTGCAAAATGAAAGTGGACACCTGAAACCTCACTTAGGAATGGAGTTGAGAGGCAGAGAAAGGACATAGTTCTGGGTAGGACAATTCATCACTCATTTTGTGTGGAGAAAGAAGAGGCTTCTTATATGGACTCATAATCAGTGGCTTGCCCTGGAAGGAGAAATACTGGAAAATCTGATAATGAAGCAAATCTGGGGTATTCATGCGAGTAGGAACAAAGCATGGAGATCCATGTATTCCAGTTGTCTACCACAGAGCATTGACCTCCAAAGAGTTCCTTTGTTGAGAGGGTATCAAAGCCCATTTCTGCTTCCTTCCTTTCCCCTACAGGTGTGGATTCTGAGACTATTCCCTAATAACCAAATCTCTTTGCCAGGAGACCCCAACCTGTACCAGTTTCATCTACTATGTGTTAAGTAAGTATTCTTTCAGTGAGGTCTTGGATAGTACCATATAATTAAATACTTTCATATTTATGCAGCAATTTATGCCAAGTAGAATGAATAAAGATTATAATTGGCCTTATGCCAATGAGGTTCAGGTTTTGCAGCCAAATTTGTTTCAAAAAGGTATGTTATTTGGAGATGTTAAATTTCAGAACTCTGGATTAGGGATTGTAGACCTGTATTTAGAAGCTAAATGTCCTTGTTTTCCCAAGACACTTCAAGCTTGGCAAACCAAGAATCACAAAGAATGCTCATCTAAAATTTAAATTTCACAGTGGACGTGTTTAAATTAGCCTGTAGTTTCACAGATGTAAACTAATCAAAGACAAAAGCTTTAAGAGAGTTACTACATCTGTATTCTGTAGATCATAAAGCTTTCCTTTAAAAAAGTATGTGAAGAAATGTAACTTTTTTTTTTTTTGGCCTTTCCAGTAGATGAAACATGAAACATGGAGGAAAGTCCCACTGGTCACTCAAAGCAAAGAAATTAACTCTAGGAAATGTCAACACATATGTTATATTGAATACCTGGAGAGCAATGCTGGTCATTTTGAATACCCAGGATAAGTAAACAGTTTGCCAAAGCTCCCTAAATGTATTCTTTATACCTGTTATTTTTTGTTTAAAATTAGATTTTATATGAAAATTATAATAATATATATCTTAGTGTAAACAAATTATATGAATGAATTTAGGTAGAAATCCATTCTACTAGAAGCAGGCCCTATTTATTTTATAGCTTGCTTCCACTTTATTAATCAACTTAATTAACTTTCCCAAGAAACAGCATAATGTGCAAGAAAACTCAGGTGTAGTGAAAATAACAAATTCAGGAGTCAATAAATCATTGCTCTAACCTCAAACATTCCAATCCTTCACTATGAAGTTTAGAACACTTAAATATCTTGAGCTTTAATTTCCTTGTTTATGAAATGAGAGTGAAAGTACCCATACCCAAAGAAATCCATGACTATTCAAACTTCAAGTTAAAATGGATTTATACGAAATGTTTTCTCATGTCTAAATAATGCTCTAATTAATTGGAGTATTTTTATTGTATCACTTACGTGGGCACTTCTTGACACAGAATGCTCCATATGTGTACTTTGCATTGAAGTTGTGTTCCAATTGAAAAGTGGTTGGATTGTAGACAAAGGTTTGGGGACATTGAGTCACACATGCCCCACTGTCATTGAAGTTCATGCAGGCCTGCAACAGCAAATATAATTTTCATTTATAAATAACTCTCACGATACATACTAATGAAACACTGTGGTGATACTTTTATGAAAGTTGTGTTCATTACCTAGTATACATCAATTCTATAGATACTGCAAATTTTGATACTTTTAAACTCATTTATCCTTCTGAGTTTCCATAAATTTTTTTCAAATGTCAGTGATATACCATCTATGGTTTCTAATGTTCAAATTGCTTAGTATTTAGCCACTGATTTTGAAATTAAGAAATGGTTTAGATTATTAAAATTAGCTGATCATGAGGAATTATTGAAGTTCAGACTGATTCAAATCATTTATATTAAGTTTTAAGGTCAATTGAATCCCAATTCTATGGTTTTTTTTTTGTTGTTGTTGTTGTTTGTTTGTTTGTTTTTGTGTGTGTGTGTGTTTGAGCTTTCATATAGACTTCAGTGCTTTAAGTGGAATGTTAAACATAAACATCACCATTGAATAGTGAAGAAATGTGATGGATGTTTAAAGTGGACTTAAGGAAAAGGTTCTGGCAGGTGACTAGCCACAGGTAAATTTAACATATATAATTAATCTGTAAATAAATAAGATGAGGCCATTTCTTGTATGGCATTTTTCAAAATGCCACACAATTTAATAAAGCTACCCCTTCAAATAAGACAGTTCCTCTCTGCTGACACAGATTTGTCTTGAGAACTCAATTCATTAGTACTTTCAAGCTAATTTGAGAAGAACTAAGAATCATTTTACCACCTGAGAATTAGGTATCTGGTAGCAAATAAAAACATATGTATAAGTACACATAAGCATGTGATTAACAAAAGTATGGATGAGCTAATTCTCTTAATTAAGAAATTAAGCTTTCATAGGCATAATTCAAGACTTGGAAGGCAAGCTAATGTGAACTCAAGTTCTGTTTTACATTTCATCATAAATTGTCATATGGTTATTAATAAGCATTAATTTATTCTGTTTCCTCAAAACATTTGCTTCATCAATTGTTGTTTTAGTGAGCACTTTATCACAAACATGACAATTCCCTGATGAAGGTCTACTAGATGCATAATCAGAATGAGACTCACTGATGATACATTATTCACTGAGATGACACTTTCTAGGAAGAATCTATTAAAAACCAATCTAGAAAACTCAGTAAGTTTTAATTTATGGTTATGAAACTTCATGTGTCCTTATAATTGCTTTACTAACATATTTTATGCAATCTTATGCATTAGATTGCTTGGCAACAAAGAACATAAGCCAGAGAAATAAAAAAAAAAAATTTACCTTTCAGACAACAAACAAGCATATTGTAACTTATACCAGGGCCTCAGTCTGGTATTCATGAGCATTCTGTAACAAATGCCAGAATGTAATTACTGGGCCATTCCAAAAAAGTAATGAAATTAGGATTTTGAACGTCACTTGATCTGCTTGTCATGATAATGAAACAATTAAAAAAAGAGGTGATTTCAAACTTTTGAGAGTTTTTATTATTGTTTATTATAGTTATTGTTTTGTAATTATTAAAGCAACACTTTCAGGGTTTAGTGTCTTCAAAGATCAATCTTCCAAGCTCATCTATCTGTATTGGTGATGGACAAGAAAAAGTTCTCAGTTTAGGAACTGCTGATCTTCTATTTCAGATTTTTAGCATTTGATTTCCTTTTTATCTGCCTCCCTATATATTTCTGCAATAAATATTTTTTTATTTCACTATACAATTAGAATAGATAAGTTCAATTTCTTATAATAGTTTTTAAAAACTAAGAAATTACTATGTATAAGATTTTCAATTTTTATTTTGCTTATTGAAATTAAGCATCAACTTTTCTAAATGCTCAATTTAGAATATATGTTCATGTGTTAGATATTTAAGAAGCAGAATAAAGAAAACAAGTTTTTTTTGCATTGACTTTCAACAGTAAATGTGATTTGCTATTTTTATAACTTTTAGCTTAAAAACAATACTAGGGTTCTGGTGTATAAAATTGAGTTAAATAATGCTCTCAGAATTGCTCATATGTTTTCCAAAGAACAAAAAAGTACTATATCAAGGATATGTTATCAAAATGTAATTAAAGTGTCCCTAACATGTTGCAAATGCAGCTAAAATATAAATCATAAAATTAGCATATTGGTTGTTTTAATGTGCATTTGTAAATCTTAAATTTTGAATAACATGAACCTGTAAAGAATAGGAACAGGAAAAATACTTAAACTCATAAATTTATCTGCTATAATCATGAAATTTATGGTAAAAATACAAAATGCAATTGCCTTCCCTGATGGTACTTAAATATGCAATGATATGGACAAGCAACCTCTGTATTTTTGGAAAGGATATTATTAGATGCTAAGAAAGATACCTCAACATATTCTCCAATAAACCTCACTTTTAACATAAATTGTGTCCAAAATGCAGAAGTAATTCAGTGGAACAGAATAATTCCAGTTAATCAATAGCCAGCTCAGTAAGAACATGATTTCTAGGAAGAGGCCCTTAAGGATCTTGCTTAATCTTAAAATGGAAAAACTTGATGTTAAATAATCACATGGGAGAAATTCAATATGGCTGAGGCAAAGAAAGAGCAAAGGAGAGGAAAAGAGGAATAAGGAGAAATCCCAGACATACAAAGCAGTCTGTATCCTTAGGTCCTGAGCAGCCTCCAGCACATTCTCTATGGCAGCAGTCACTGACATAAGGTCCATAGCACCTGCCATCACATTGTTCTGCACACACCGTCCTTGTCACTGCAGAAGACAGAAATGGGGTCTCTATCAGAGTCAGCCACCAATGAAAACTCCTGAAGTTATGTGCAACCACTGAGAAAAGCTAAGTTCTGAAGTAACAATTTACTAAACCCAACCCTGACTCAATTCGGCAAACATTTAATGAGCAAAGTTGGCATTTAGATCAAAATTACTAAAAACAAACAAACAACAAAAAACCTCCAAAATTATATGTGCATTTATTTTTATATTCTTTCTTGTTTCAGAGAATATTTATAGTGCTGTATAAAAATCATTCAGGTTGGGAAAGATGGAGTCAGCAATGAAATTACTTCACACAATGTATATGGTAAGGTCCTGTGGGAAAAGGTGGTTCCAAAATTGAATTTAAGACTTTTAATAGTTAATGAGGAAAAGGAAACATTTTCTTTATTCACAATATATTTTACATGAGGAAAACCAAAGAAGGAATGTAAGAAGAAGGAAGAGGTGGTGAGAGGAAGGGAACACATAACTTTCACTGGTCTTTTCTTATCCTTCTGTCCAAGCTGTCAGCATCATATCATAGTATACTTTAGTATAAGAAAGGCTATGGACAGTGAGTCAAAATTATAGTAACAAGGGGTACAATTATTTTTAGCTCAGTTATTCCACTGAGATTTTAAAGCATTTTTCAAGTATGAATTTTACAGGATATGGGATAGCATATCATTTCCATATTTCTTTCAACTTTTGTGACTAGTTTTTCTAAGCTTCTTTCACTGCTACTTTACAAAGACTCTGCCTCTTAAACATTAGTATTCCCCAGATTTGGTTTTGACAATTTTCTGTGGGCTACCGGCTCATTCCTGGCCAAAATCATTCAACCCAAGTTGTACAACTTCGAGATCCAAAATGGATTCCCTGCGGAGATACTTCTTATCATAAGTTCATAGGAGATTTTGAAAATAAATATTTGGATCTAGATTTGTGAGTTTGTATCTTGTATTTAGAAATTGAGGTACATTAAATTCTGAAATAAGTGATTTCTTCTATAAATATTCTAGCATACAATTCTACATAATAAAACAGCTTGGCCTATTAATTCACCTTTTAAAAAGTCTCACCTACTCGGTGAAATCTACTTCTATTTAATGCAGAAACTTCCCCAAACAACTGTCTCCTGGAGACTTTCCTCTTCTTTCTACTCCTTCTCTTGTCCAGTCTTAGTCATTTTTTTCTCTTTTTCCTTCCTTCCTTCATGCCTTCCTTCCTTCTTCCTTTTTTCACTTCCTCCTATATTTTTGTTACAGCATCCATCACCATCTAACATGTGTTCCAAATTATTTATTACATTAATTTTATGGTGTATTCCAACTTCTAGAATTATACCTGGCATTCATGTAATTTTATTTATATTTTATGTATACATTATATATGTGTGTGTGTGTATATACACATTATAAATACACAAATTACATGTATGCATTAATATTCATAGTCATATATTGTACTTACATTGCTGTCTTTTAACCAAGTGGTGTATTTATTTAGGTGTACTAATTATTAATACATACTATATAAAGCAAATTATTTGCATAGTTTTTAAAAGAGTACATTAAAACATAGTATTTTCTCTTCCAGATGAAATAAAGTCCTTTTGATATATCAAGAGTCACTAACTAAAATAGAAGATATGTGATAAATAAACAAATTATACATTTGAAATAAGTCTCATCACAGGACAGTCTATTAATTTGATTATAGTTGTCAGGCATTAATCAGCTGGAAAATAATAGCATGGAATTGAATCAACAATCATATCCCATAAGTCACATCACATTTTAATTTTAGATGTATATATCTAAGTGTTGATTTCTATTTTTAACTCTATCACCCTTTAAAGCAGTACACAAAATGTTTCAATTTCCCTTCATTTGTTTACTCTGAACTTCTCTGACATAATAGGAAAGTAATATAGAAAATATTTAAATAAATAAGATAATTAATTTAAATTTTATTTTTAAATTATTGATTAAATGTTCATATTAAAATCATTTTTTTGTCATGGGACATTATTTAAACATGGAAATTGGATGTTATGATTATAATAGCACAATCTTAGACTCAATAACAGGTATTGTACTTTATATTTTAAAAGATTTAATCATATGTAATGTTAGATATTTTGAAATAGCAATTTCAGCCATATGGTACTCAAATATTTCATTCATATCTAGGACATCTTGATATTCACATTCCATTCCACTTCAGCAACATGCAAAAATCATCTAAGTCATTATCCAAAGGCAAATATATTTTTTAATTTATTTTAAGATATTAAAAGGAAATTTTGGGATTTTTCTCAAAAACAGTCTATAATTGAGTTTTTAAACATTACATTGTATTCAGTATTAAAAACAATACTCTTTAATTCCAAATAAAAATTTTCAAAAAACGTATTTGGAAATGTTGATGAATAAGTAAGCAAAAGAACAAAATGATAAACTTAACTTATAAATAGTGATGAGACAAAGTTTGTAAACATCTTTTTACATTGTTTTATGAGACTTATTTTAGAAATAAAACATTCTCTTTGCACACATCCAACTTGTGAGCAGGGCACAGGGCACAGCATTATAAAGTAAATCCATTTACCAGAATTTGGTGATTAATAAACATCATTCACTTAATACAGAAAAACTCATCAATCTGTACTCAAAGTTTTTGATGAGAGAGACACAAAACAAAATACAGGTCCTGAAATCAATGAGATAACTCAGCCTCCATAGGAACATTAACATATAATTGCTTTAGCTTTTATTAATTTCCATCCTTGCTGGGATATTTCAATGGAAATGTTTTCGCTGTGTTTGGTATGCTTTCTAAATTGCTTCACTGGGTGCATTAAAATATTTGGGTCAAGTTTTAACTAGCTTATTCATTGCTGGTAAACTGCTATGCAGTTAATATAAAAAGTAAAACCTCAGAAGTTAAACTTATATTTGGGTCAATAAACTTGAAATTGGCAATGGGAATTCATTCAAAATATCCATGACAATCATATGGCAAATTTAAAGAACCAAGTATTCCATGGTAAAGCAATATTGCTGAGAGACTATCACCTCTAAAAACTATAGTATTTGTTAGTAGCATTATCTTACCAGTACCTCACTAATGAAAGCAAAAGTTTAATTACTTCCCTGAACACAATGATATCCAATGTTTACTCCTTTAGAAAAATATTTATCTTATATGAAGAGCATAAATTTGCAAATGAAATATTTGTTGTTGCTTTCTTTAAATATTTTTGTTTTAATTAGTTATATATGACATTAGAATACATTTATGCACTTTGATATATCATACATAGATGGGATATAATTTTTTATTTTTATGAGTGAACATTTTGCAGAATCATATTGGTCATGTAGTCACTTATATATACATACAGTGATAATGTCTGTTCCATTCTAATATCTTTCTATTACCATATCCCCTCCCCTCCCATCATTTCCTTCTATTTTTATCAGTAGCCAAAAGGACATTACAGTGAAAAGCTGAAAGGTCTATTTGCTCATTAATAGGGAGAGCCTTTATAAATGTTTGCTCCCCATATTTTTGCATTTGACCACTTTCCTCCTTCTTCCCGGTCTCCTTCCTCCTTCCTTTCCTTCCTTCATTGCCTTGAAATAGTTTTAACTAGTACACTGTAGTTACATGTAAGCTTGAGATTCATTGTGGTGTGCTCACATATGGATAGAGAGTAATTTGGACAATTTTGTTGTTCAGTTCTTTCCCCTGCCTGGTCCTCCTCCCTCCCTCTGCATCATACCCTTCCTGTATTCTACGGGTCTCCCTTCTGTTTTCATGAGATAACCTTTATATTCCTGATTTTTTCCTCTCTCTCCAGATTCCATATATGAGGTCAAATACTCGACCTTTGGCTTTCTGAGTCTGGCTTTGGATTGGCTTCAGTTCGTCCACCCTGTTCTTCTAAACTGGTTTGTATATTATATCATGTCATGGGATCTTTCAAACTTGAATATAAAAATTCTTATATAAATAAAAAAATCAATTCAATTAGCATCAGTGGGGCCCATAATTATCTATTTGTCATAAGCTCCTAAGGAATGTCACTGCTTGCTGTTCCACAAGCTCCATTTTAGTAGTATTTTATTTTTTTCCAAATACATTGACTTGAGAATCACTTAATTCCTAATAAATGAAATTAGCCAGCAATGTACTAAGAGTTTTTTACAGTTTTAATAAGTTGCATATGTGATTCCAATGCACAGTCTAGAGTTGAGAAACATTATTCTGTCCAGTCAAATTGAGAAAAATCTCTAAGTCATTTACACCATTTGATTGACAGATTAATTATTCTTTGTCTGAAACTTAATCATAATGACCTCTTGCTTTCATCTCCTATTTGTGTTCTTAAGTGCTCTATCACTAATAAGAAATCAAACAAAAATTGATAAGCAAAGAGATAATAAAATTTGGAAGGAAAATGACCTAGATTGGGTTAGAAACATGGCATGGCTCGTTCTGAAGGCAGAAGTGTCAGAAAAATGGAACATATCATTATTAGCATCTCAGGCAGCAGCTGTATGCACATTAAGTATCATGAGGCAACCCCTAATTTCATTGCAAAACATTTTAAAGCACACTTATTTCATTTTTCTTTTCATTTTTATCGCAGTTAGTACTAATAACTCATATCTATGATGCCTATATTATTTAAATTTTTATGGACAAAATTTTGAAAAACCATGCCCAGAAAACACACTATATTAATTAGTATTTCAACTTTAAAATATAATATATTAATTAGTATTTCAACTTTAAAATGAGTGTTTTTGAGGTTATAGTATTTTCAGCTACATACCTAGAAGTTTGAATAAGAAGAAAAATGCTTAGGTTAAACAAAGGTGATTTTGGTTGGATGTGAAGAAGAATTTATCGACTATTAGAGTGATAAAAAAAACTGTAATGAGCTACTGAATGGGTTTCTTGAGTATTTATTTGTCAGTATTTTA